CCACCAGCATTACTACTACTACTATTACTACTAGAACTACTACTAGTACTACTACTACTACTACTACAAGCATAATCATCGTCACATACACATATAACCAACAGTAGAAGCCCAGGAACGTCGTAATACCTCGTGCGGCTATTCGTCGTAATTAAAATATTACTTTTCGAGAGCAAACGCGAAGAACCTTCCGCTACCTGACGCACGCGGGGGCACGTTTAGAAAACATTTTTTTTCCTCGCTAACTTCTAATAATCTAGAAATTTCTTGTTTTATTTTTTATTATCATAAAAGATTATATTATATAATAATATAAAATATTAATGTCTCTCTTCCCTATCGAAAAGAATAAAATTAAATCTATCGATTTTTTATTTTCTCGTTTAAAAAAAAAAAAAAAAATAAAAAACAATATTTTATGTTCCAGGTGTGTCGTCATTAGTGAAACTAAAAATTGAAATACGAGACATCGATAACAAATTCGAATTCGAATTTCTTTTAGCGTTTGATTAATCATCGAAACGGGATAAAAAAAAGAATAAAATTATCAAAAAGAAGAAAAAGAAACGAAACTTGAGTAAGTGTGTAAGTGTATAATACGTATATGTATTACATATACAATGTAGAATTTCTAAGAAGTACGAACGAACGCTTTCCCCTCTTTTGCCACCCTTGGCTTTTCGAACGTTCTCGCATATCTCTCCGCGTCGGACGTTTTACGATATTCGCCAACGCCGTAAATCGTCGATCGTGCCATTGGATTTATGCATCGATATCGGATGCACTTAAGTATACAAATGCGCCCTTAATTGGACTGTCTCCTTCCGTGCGCTTAATATAAAAGCGGCACTTCGAAACTACTACCGAATGTAGTACCCAAATCATTTCGGACAGGGAATACTTTTAAATTGAAAGTATTGCTTCAATTTTAAAAATATATCTAATTTAATAAATGACATAATATAACTAGGTAAGAAATTTACTTAAATAATATATCTAATATTTAATTTTGTTAAGTAATAAATTAAAATATCTAATTAACAAAAAAATGTGTGTGTGTGTAATCCTTTACATTAGATAAAATAAAATTCTTTCTACATAATATATATATATATATATATATATATATATATATATATATATATATCTATTCTAAATCTAACATTTGCCCTTAAGTTAATTAATAAATGAATGAAATATCTAATTAACAATTAAATTGAACCCTTTACATTAGATAAAATAAAATTCTATCCTAATTCGTACGTATAAAATATCGTAATAATAAGTTAGTACCATGATGATAATAAATGTACAATACAAAAAGAAAAAGAAATCAAATAAAATAGATAGAAGGATGAACGTTAATGATCCTGGAAAGATCGAGATAACATAAACGAGTCGCGAGCGTACACCTCTTCCAATATAAAAAGAAAAAAAAGAAAAATAGATGATCGAAGTCGTCCACCTCCGCGAAAGCTGAACTCGAAACGTTTTTGATTTATTGCCAAGCGATACGCAAGAGAAGAACTAACGCGTTCATCTCGTCTATTAGAAGAGAAGGAAAGAGAGAAAGAGAGTGGTGGCCACCGAGAGAGACACCACATTTACTATTCTGCTAGCGAATAACACGGGAGTGTAATACCAGCGGGTCTATCGACCGCCCACCGACATGTTCTTCTTCTTCTATCTTTTCCTCCCTTTCACCCTTCCACTTTACTTTCCTCTATATCTATCCTATCTGGTATATACATACCGGTGGAATTCTTAGCCACGTTAGAGGAACGTATAATTACGAGCTTTGATTAATAATTTATTGCGTCAGGTATTATACTGATGTATCTTTACGAAGAGCAACACACAACAACACTCATACTCCTTGGCTCTTTTCTCACACTCCTGTTTTTTTTTTTTTTTCATATTGAGAGAGAGAGAGAGAGAGAAAGAGAGAGAGAGAGAGAGAAAAGGACAATTCATATGTAAAAGGGTGATGATAAAAAGAAAGAAAATAGGAGGGTGTGGAAGAGAGGGAGGATGGGAGAAGGAATATTATGAAGGGGGTGTAGGGGAAGGGGGGTGGTTGAAGAATTTATATTAACAACGGTACTTCGTCGCTTGGTTATCATCGGGATCGTTATCGATGGTTATATCTTTCTCTCTCTTATCCTTGTGTGTGTGTGAACTCGTATAAAGTTAACGTATTTTACTTTATTATCGTAATTATAAGGTATATAATATAAAATAGGATGGGGGGGAGGGGAAATAATCTACAAAAGGAAAATATTAGAAAATTACAACGCGACTTGGGAGCAAGTTGTTTCTTTCTTTTTTTTTTTTTTTTTTTTTTTTAAACGAGTTTTTGTATTCCATTTACTATTACTTGATGTTGGAAAATTCTTGTTGAATTTCTAAAGAATTTTATGAGAGATAGGATAGAATAAGAGAGAAAGAGAGAAAGAGATAAAGATTCTTTCGATTGGTCGGGGACGAAGACGACGATGACGAGGATCGAGGACGAGTATCGGCCGTTACGCTCGATTTAAGTTTGCTCACCGGAAGTCTATAAAAAGCGCGTGTCTCGCCAAACTCACGAACGTTACGACGCGGAACGGTATTTTGTTCGAGGCGTTGAGCCCACCCTACACACGTTAAGAGTAGATTGAACAATGCCAACCAGTTTCATCTTTGTTTTTTGATGCCTCTTATTTTTATATATGTATTGGTAAAGATTGGAAATAAGATATATAAAAATATAAGTAAGTATATTGATAAATGTAATTATTTTTGATAGTACGTTTTAATTCAACAATTGTTTCAATCTAATGTGTTAATTTATACTTTTTTTATTTGTATTATTATTTTAAATTTTCTAATTCGTTTGATTGGAAAATATTGAATAACGTTGAATGATACAATTGAATTGATATTTTTATTTAAATCTTTTAATTCACTTGTATCAGAAATACTTAAAAAATTATTTGCCAATTTAATCGAAAGCTCTGTACGAACCGAATAAACAGTTCAATGAATGTATCGAGAGAATAAGATTGAAGAAATAAAATAAAACTTTACAAACGTGACCAAACGAAGACGAAGACGACGAAGACGACGAAGTTCGCGATATTTTCGCATCAACGAGAAGAAAGAAAGCGAATTGAACGTGGTCCTGAACGTGGTCCTGAACGCGGGCAAATGCGGGCAAACGTTGGGCAAAATGTTCGCGCGCGATCACGTGCAACCGATAACCGGCGTGTCGGGGCCTCGGACGATGCTTGTTCCACCCGTGTTTTCTACACACAACACACAGAACACACAGAACACACAACAAACACAACGTCTCTCGCAGCAAACCGCCGAACGATTATCGACGTTCGACAATCGAAGGATTTATCGTTTCGTTTTCGAAGCGCAACTTGGCTTCGAATTCACTCCGTGAAACCACGACTTTTCTCTCTCTCTCTCTCTCTCTTTCTCTTTCTCTCTATTTATTTCTCTTGGTCTCTCTTCGAATGTTGAAAAAGGTGAGGCTAGTTGCTAAAGAACTTCGAGAGGATATCGGTTGCAATTGTATAGAACACTTGTAAGCGCGAAATGGTATTATCCGTGTAAGGATATATTTTGCTTCGTGGGTTGGTAACCGTTGTTAGAAAAATATACTCGATCGAGGACGCCGATACTTAGGTGATCCGAGTCACGTTTAAAAGTAGAAGTTTTATTCTTTAAAATGATACCAACTTGGGATTATGTTTTACTTCTTAGAATTCTAAAGAAACCTCTTAGAGTTTCCGTACGACATGTGATAGATAGATAGATAGATCACTGTGTTGCTTAATTATTCTTGTAATTAATTCTAACCGGAGACTTTTATATATATAAATAGTTACTAATTATAATTAATTCTTATGAATTTTAATCATATCGAAGATATCTTTCAAAGTGAATCTTACTCAAGTATACCTAAGTTAAAATATATAATATATATATATATATGTATATGTTCAATTAATTTATCTTTTCATCGATCTATCCTCTTTCTTTCTATCTCATTGTTTCTTATTACACGAAAAAAATAATAAAAAAGAAAGAATCATGGCATCTTCTCTTATTCTTGGAACACTAGAACCCGCGCGAATTCCAAGCTCTTCGGCTTGGCATTTCTCGATAATTAGGTGAATCCAGGTATCGCATCGTAACGACCCTTCCTTCCTTCCTTCCTTCCTTCCTTCCTTCCTTCCTTCCTTCCTTCCTTCCTTCCTCCTGTATCCCTCCCTGAACTTCTCGTTCCTTCTTTCGATGGCATCGCGTCCCTTTTGCCACGGTTATCGGGCGCGATAAGTTTTAAGAAGAACCTGAACGAGTTGGATCTCCTCGTTGCAAGGTAGGAATGCCCAGCACAACCAAACTCAGATAGAAATGTTTTCTCTCTTAACTTGAAAAGAATGCTTTTAAAGTTCTCTCGAGACACGTTGTACGAACGACTGACCAAATTTAGCTGCTCTCATCACCAAATTGCGATTTATTTTATTTTTTCCATTCTAATCTATACCCCTTTTATTTCTTTTTTTTTAAGGATTATTTAGCATTGGAATGTTCTATGTAAAATCAAAATTATCCTAAGGTTGGTTAAATAATTTCAAAGTGACAATTAATTATGTTGACGATGAGACACTTAACTATTTTATTAGTTCCTTTCAACCTGTCATTCGAATAAATATTTGAATAAAAGGAGGAATGATATTAAAATAAAAATTATTTTAACAATTACACGAGTAATAAAATATAATATATACTAATTTTTATAGATTATTACTCGTATAATTACTGTCATTAAGTTAACGTTAAACTTATGTTTTTAGTCATTTAAATAAATATTTGTCATTGCTTTAAAAAACTGTTATCAATAAAACCAGTATATATATATTTAGATTTGTAGTATTAAATTCACTTATAAACTATTGTTATTGTCGATTTTCGTACGATAGTTCTCAAAGATTCAAACTTACTGTCAATTCGAAGAGACGTTTTCCACGCGTAGGAAGCGTCCTCGTTCAATGTTCGAATGTACACTAGTCGTCATCACGATTTACCACAACCACCGTTGACTTTGATTATTCCAATGTGATATTTATAGTATTCGCTTTCGTATTGTTTCTTCGTGACGTTTCTTCTAACCACCGTAAAAAATTTCTCGGTATGTTCGAGTTAACTTTCCACGAGCTTAGATCTGGGCACGCTTCACTTCGTGTTTCTACAATAATCGTTGGTTCGATCGTTTCGAGTGTGTATCGTTGACTATTTAAAATCAATCGAATAATATCCTTGCTTTTTAGGCACTTTATAAATAATATAATCAAAAACTATTCATTTTTTAAATGACACCACTCTGTGATTCTAACGAAAGCGATATCGAATAGAAGAAAAAAAAACAATAATTATTTATAGGTTTGTCTTCTCAAAAATAAGAAAGAAAGAAAAAATAATAACAACAACAACAACAATAACAAAAAAAAACAACACTCGCGGTCGTTCACAATCACACGTTACACACTATCTCTTTATATCCGTAAAATATGAATGAAAAGTGACAAAAATGACGTAGGAGAAGTTTGATGAGCCAATGTTGAACGACGACGGAAAACACTGATGCATTAGTTCGATGCAAAAAAGAAAAAAACAAAAAACAAAAAAAGGAAAAGAAAAATAATAAAAAAAGATTAATTTATTCTTCTTTCTTCTTTGTTAATATCTTCTTTGTAACATAAAACGATTTCACGTTTATAAACGTAGATCGAGTAAGATCCTCTTGTTCTCTCTTTGTAAATATTAAATAAGGAGAGGACGAACAGTATTAAACACTATGAATATGACAACGACGACGACGAAGACGACTATGACTATGACAGAGGTTGGTTGTAACGGGTTTATGTTAGACCGAGCTGGCGTTCCAGAACAATTAACCCTAAAGTCTAATCGATTTAATTAGGCGTCAGCTGTAATAGTCTCCTTCCGATCGATCCTGTCGCCCTCCTCGTGTCCGTCGGGTCCCGTGTTCTCCTCCTCCTCTTCCACCCCGTCATCGAGTCGTCCCCTTCAGATGATATCCTGATCGACGAGTCGACGTCCTTCTCTCCAAGACGAAAATAAACCGCGAGTGGAAGCTCAACGCACAACCGGTCGGTCGTGCGATCCTCCGAAACTCTTTCTCGGATCGTTGAGAAGAGTCCAATGATTACTATGACGACGATGACGATGATTCCGGAAGAAAGAGTCTTGACACGACACTTCACTGATATATGTATATATAAATATATATATTTATATAAAAATATATATGTGTATGAGCGTATTATTTACGTCCTTAAAAACAATTTTTTGATCGATTTATCGATCAATCTTGATATATTATTTCCAGTTTTAATAAATATATATATATAACTGAAAATATAAGAACAACAAACAAATAAGGACGTCTCCGGCACGTGTTCACTGGCCCGTATTTTTTCCGCTCGATGTTGTTTTTAGAGAGGATCCGTCTCGCGTGTGTGCGAGTGAAAAAAAAAGAAAGAGGGAAGGAAAGAGAGAGAGAGAGAGAGAGAGAGTGTCGAGGTGGGGGTGGAAGGGATGGGGGGAGTTATGGAAAGGGAAAAATAAAAAGAGAGAGAGAAAGAGAGAGAGAGATGGAGAGGCTGTCAGATGAGAAAGAGGGAGTGAGAAAATATCAGCAACCCCATCATCTTCTTTGAACGACCTTCCTCTCTAGGTCGTTAGAAGAAATTAGCAGGAACAGCAACAACCAACGGTAACAGTAGCACCGGTACTGCAGTCAATAGAAGACGATATGTTGGTCTGTCTCTCGATATTGCTGCTGACGCTGACGAAGAAGACGACGACACGCGTTCACCAAAGTTGAAAACGAGCACGCGAGCAACGAGCGAGGTAGCGCGCGCGCGCGCGCGCGCTCTGCCGATCCCGAAGCGTGTGCACGAGAAGAACGTTTTTAACGGTTTATGAATCGTTCTCGCGTTTTTTTTCGCGCCTGCGCGAGCCGATTCTCGCTCGCGATTTTGGGTATTCTTCGGTGGTGAATAAAAGAATAAGAAGATGATGACGATGAAGAAGAAGAAGAAGAAAAGTGGTAATAGAGATGAAGATTAAGTGTAGGATAAGTAGAAAATGAAAAGAAAATGATGACGATGACGATGACGATGACAATAATGACGATGATGATGATGACGATGAATAAATTCCAGTTCTTGGGTTATCTTTAAATACTTGAAATAAGAACGCGTGCCCTTCGCGAAAATCGGTACGACACGTTCGTCTCTGTTGGTAGACGCGAACCGGCGCGAACGGCCACGAACGATGACAATGATAATGATATAACAATAGCCGTGCGTTCTCCGCTGGTTCAGATCTTACACTGAAGACCAAGGTACACATACACATGTGTGTCGGCCTGGGCCGGCAGGTAGAAGAAGGAGGTAGAGGCCGAGCGCGGTAGGAGGAGGACAAGAAGAAGAAGGAGGAGGAGGAGGAGGAGGAGGTAGAGGTAGAGGAGGAGGAGTGGAGTGTGGCTAAAGAAGGAGGGGAGATACACCACGCTCTTGTGCACCGGCCGCGCGCCTACATTCATGTCACACACACTTATACTAGACCCTCTYTCTCTCTCTTTCTCTTTTGCTTACTTACTTACTTACTTACTCACTCGCTCGATCGTTCGTTCACTCACTCACTCACTCACTACTCGATCTACCTTTTTCCCTCGGTGTATTTCACGATCGCGTGGAATCGAGAATGTCTGTGTGTATACTCTTGGCATGCATGTGAGTAAACCTCTAACTTTATCTTACTCTTTCTCACCGACGACTACATATAATATCTCCCTCTTTCTCTCGGAGCACGTGTGAGAGGGCTCGTGTGCCTACACGCGAGAAGACAACGCACGCACACGAACGCTCACTTCACCTCTTCCTCCTTCTCCTCCACCTCCTTCTTCTCTCTAACCGACGACTACTCCATCCATAGAGACGCCAGGTACATATTCAGCATCGGACGAACAACATCGCCTTGCCCCGCCTCGGCAGGGTGCGCGAGCGCGCGAGCTTACATACGATACGATACGGCYACAAGGCAGAGCCAGGTAGCGCACAAAACTGAAGGGATCTTTCAGGAGGAGGTATAGGTATAATATCTCTCTCTCTTTCTTTCTTTCTCTCTGTGGGTATACGTCCATGTATGTGTGTTATAGTCGCGAAGAAGAAGGAGTGGACGAATGGTGGGGAGGAACAAGGAGAAAGAAAGAAAGAAAGAGAGTGAGATGCTTTGCTGTTGCACTGAAGAAGCTGTGTGAGAGAGGAGAGGAGACAAGGGAGATGGAAAAAGAAAGGTTGTTGAGACTAGCCACTGGCGAAGCGAGATAGCAAATGAAAGAAAGAGAGAAAGAGTCTAAAGTCTTGGTAGAGGGGTATCCATTGCTGCTGCTGCTGTTGCTGCTGCTGTTGCTGCTGCTGCTGCTGCCGATGCCGATGCTGATGCTGTGGCTGCTACTCATGGTGGTGCTTCTGCTGCTGTTGCTGCCGTTGCTGTTTAAGCCGCGAGTACGCACGCTTTAAGGCGGTCGCGCTAGTATTATCTCTCTGTCCCTCCTTCCTTCTTTCCATCCACTCCTCCCTTTCCAGCCCTCTTTCTCATACCCTTACGGACTCCTGTCCATCCCGTAGCTTCAAACGTTCTTCTTGTTGTTCTTGTTGTTCTTCTTCCTCCTTATCCCCGTTTTCTTCGTTTAGGCATGAGAGAGCAAGAACGAACCGATCGCTCCCGAGCTGCGTTCATTCAGTTCATGTCTCATGATAGGTAGGGAAGGTAGGTAGGTAGGTAGGTTGGTAGGTACCTGTGATCTCGTTCAGCTTTATATGGAATCGACTTCCTGAAAATCGATCTTTTTTCTTGACACCGACATTGTCTTTGAGTATTGCATTGTTCATCATTGAACAATAGTTAGAGTACCGTTATTTTGATAGACAATTTGTATACGAACAATTTATTCTATATCGTATAATTATAATATGAGAAAAAAATATTCGATATTATTTGTTAATTTAAGCTGTGAAATAATAAAACGAGGTCAAGATAAAAGTAGTTCGTGTCGTGTGTTTCGTCGTTCTCTTACACGTGTAATATGAAATCTATTCTAAATCGTATCCGCGATCGTGACCGTTCGATCTAACTTTCTTCACGCTCATCTACATCCTTTAATAATTACTAATTGCAGAGACTCACGCTTCTACGAAAGACGAGCGATCAATGAGAATCGCTGCCACTGGCAATTAATATATTAAGCTTTATATGTATGTAGCTCGTGTTCCTTTCGCTTGCTGCTTGCTTGCTTGCTTGCCTGCTTGCCTGCCTATCGTCGCGATTACACGGTATATACGGCGTCGTAAATAACGTCCACTCGAATAGCGCTCGTCTTTCGAGAAATGTCTTCTTTCTATAATGGCCGACGCCGTAGGATTATAAATTTTGCTCGCTCGATCGGAACTTCGGAGAAACTCAATGCTTTGTTGATGCGTCTGATGCGCGGGATTTTACTCCTTTTTAGATCCTAATTCTTTAAACTTGTAATACATTCTGTTAATAAATGAATGGGGGTAGTTGGGGATTTTATTTTATGGAGTATATATTCGAAAGAAATAATTTAAATAAAGACACGAGAGAAAACAAATGTACTCGAGTTTAAATAAAGTGTACATTCTTTCTTTTTTTTTCTTCTTAAATCGAAAATATCTAAAGATTACGATATATCATTACATAAATCGAATTATCCAACATAGCAAAAGGGGGAGGGAATTTATTGCACAACTGTATTTGCCTGTCTCGACCGTGCTAAAGTGATTTGTTTGTACGCAATTTAGAACATCTGCGTGTATGGCCTTCGTTGGACTGATTCGTAATTATATATCAAAGATAATAAGAATACGTCGCAAGTTATACGGTACTAACACTCACACACACACTAGGAAAATTGCTAAAAAAATTATATACATTATCTATCATTTTTTTTTTCATTTTAAATTAAACGAGGTATCAAATATTAACAATGAAATATTATAAATAAATTCAAATAAAACCAATTGAAAATAAGGAGATGAAATGAAAAATAAATAAATACATATATTTATATATAAATTAAAAAAAAAGGAAAGAAACAGAATATATGTTTGATTTATAGTTTCTCCTCCTTCATCTCCACCAACGTCCTCGCGAACGAGTAATCGGGTTGCGCCAAGCAGCGTTCCAATTTTGACTTCCACCAGAACGCATAATGAATCGATATGCAAATTCGAGAATAGGGATCATAACTCATTCGTGTGCTATCGCCGTTCTCGCGCGAGCTCGATCGAGAGGAGAGGAGAGAAGTAGAATTCGCTGTTTATGCGAAGAGACGTGTACGTAGGTACATGCGTCGTTAGGAAGACGACAAAGACGACGACGCCTTGCAAGTTGGCAGACCAACCTGACCAAAGTCAAAGATAAGAATACCGAACGAAAGGGAACCTCGAACGAAAAGGGACCCAGAAGAGATTGCGTTGCAATTACAAGTGCACGAGAGAAGAGAGAGTATTCATATACACAGATATACACAGCAAACACAAGCAAAAACACATACATATCACATTTCCTCGTGAGTGTAACTTATAAGAAAACTTTACTTTTTTTTTTTCCTTGCACCAGATTAAAAAACTACAAAGTATAAACTCGCGTGTGTGTGTGTGTGTGAGAGAGAGAGAGAGAAAGATGGAAAAAAGACGGATCAAAGTGACATGAAATATGTGAGTCTCGTTCGCATAAAAGTACCGGCCCACCGTCGTCCCTGTTAAACGTCGAGTCTCGTTCGCGTGCGAAGCCCACTCGTGGACGACTTTCTTGACGGAGGAGAACGTTCCGTTGTTGTTGTTGTTTGTGCATCAAGGATTTCAAATGTCGGTTTGCACATTTGGATCGAAAACGGAGTAAGAATCTCTAAGATACTTTTTAATATTGCGAGGAAAACAGTGATGGTAAATATTATCTTGGATTATCGGGAGAGAACGGTACAGTTTTCTGGGTAGTATTTGAACAATTTCGTGAAATTGTTGCCTTGAACAAATGCAGACGTATTTAAATGGAATATGACTAAATATAATATAAGAAGAAAGGGGTATAATTATTTGATATCGGTAATAGAGATGAAACGAATTCACCCTTGATTTAAAAATAAAAATCATTATGTTTTAAATTAAGAAAATAAAATAAAAGAAAAGAAAAGAGGGATTGGTATTTTCAGATGGATTGTTGAATGTTTCG